AAAGTTGTAGATACAAAATTAACATACAGAAATCAGTAGTTTCTATATATGAATAGTAAGCTAGCTGAAAAAGAAATCAAGAAAGAATTCCCACTTACAATAGCTACAAAAATGAATAAAATACCTAGATGGAAATATATTCAAAGAGGAAATTTATTCAAAGACCTCCACGATGGAAACTATAAAAAGAAACTAAAAGAAATTGAAGAGAACACAAGTAAATGGAAAGACATCTGTGCTCATGATTGGCAGTATTAACATTGTTAAAATGACCACACTACTCAAAGCAATCTACAGGTTCAGTGCAATCCTTGTCAAAATACCAATAATGTTCTTCACAAATAGAAAAGAAAATCCTAAAGCTTATATAAAACAACAAAAAGCCCTGAGTAGGCAAAGCAGTACTGAACAATAAACAAAACTGGATACATCACCTACCTGACTTCAAATTATACTACAAAACTATAGTAACCAAAACATCATGGTTTGATGTACCAATATACAGTAAATCCCCTACATATAAGCAAATTCTGTTCTGAGAGTGCATTTGTGAGTCCAATTTACTCCTAAGTCCAACAAAGCCAGCCTCGGTACCAAATTAACACAATCAGCGGCATTGTACCAGCTACATCACTGCTGCTTGTATGCTTGCTTCCAGACACCCTGGTCTTGAAATAAAGATACTGTACTGCTTGTACTCTGTACAGTACCTTACAGTAAAGTACACAAAGCACAGCCACTTGTAGAGGATGCATGCATATGACAATATACACCAGACATGTGAATCAACTTATGTGATTGGATATGCGAATGCACATTCGCATCTTTGAAGTTAACAGTTTGAAGGTTCATATGAAGGAGCAGACTACTATAAGAGCAGACACATAAACCAGTGGAACAGAATAGGGAATCTGGAAATAAATCCACATATTTATAGCCAACTTATTTTTGACAAGGCGCCAAAAGCATACCTTGGGGAAACAACAGTCTCTCTAACAAACAGTGCTAGGAAAACTGGATATGCATATGCAGAAAATGAAACTAGACTCCTGTTTCTCACCATATACAAATATCAACTCAAAATGGATTAAAAATGTAAACATGAGACCAGAAACTATAAAGGTGCTAGAAGAAAATATAGGGGAAATGCCTCAGGACATTAGGTAAAGATTTTATGACTAAGACTTCAAAAGTACAAGCAACAAAAACAAGACAAATGGTTTTTGCACAGCAAAGAAAACAACAGAGTAAAGAAACAACCTGTAGAATGGGAGGAGATATTTGCAAATTACTTATTTGACAAGGGACATCCAGAACACACAAAGAACTCAACAATCCAACCACTAACAAAACAAGACAAAAGAAACCCACAAATAATTCCATTAAGTGGAAGAAAGATCTGAATAAACATTTCTCAAAAGAAAATATCCAAATAGCCATCAGATATAAAAGAGCTATAACCAAAAAGATAAAAAATAGCAAATGCTGGCAAGAATATAGAAGTATAAACTGTTGGTGGGACTGCAAATTCATACTGCCGTTTTTTAAAACTATAATATAGAGATTTCTCAAAAATACAAAAATTGAACTACCATACAATCCAGCAATCCCACTATTGGATATTAGCCCAAAGAAAAAGAAATCAGTGTATGAAAGGGATACTTGCACCCCTATGTTTATTGCGTGTTTATTTACAATAACCAAGACATGGAATCAGTCAAAGCATTCATCAGCAGATGAATGGATAAAGAAAATGTATTTTGACATAATGAAACACTATTCAGCCATCATAATGAATATAATTTTGCATTTGCAGCAACATGGATGGAACTGGAGATTATTTTGTTGAATGAAATAAGCCTGGCATAGAAAGACAAATATTGTGTGTTCTCATTCATATGTGGGAGCTAAAAAGGTGGTTCTCATGGAGATAGAGAGTAGAATGATGATTACCAGGGTCTGGGAAGGAAGAGGAGGGAGTGAAGAGAGATTGGTTAATGGATACAAACATACAGTCAGATAGAAGAAATAAGTTCTAGTGCTTAGTAGCACAGTAGGGTGACATGACTATAATTAACAATAGTTTATTTTGTGTGTCCAAATAGCTAGAAGAGATTTAAAATGCTCCCAACACAAAGAAATGATAAATAATTGACGTGATGGATATCGTTAAGTACCTTGATTTGGTTATTACACATTGTGCTCATGAATCAAAATAATCACATGTACCCCATAAGTGTATGATTATGTATCAATAAAATAATTTTAATAAATTGACAAAATTTTTAAAAATTTTTAATTATATCATGTGTCAAAAAGGATATGAGGAAACAGGTACTTTCATACACTAGTTGGTAGTAGTGCAAATTGCTAGAGCCACTTTGAAGGCCAGTCGGCAATATCATTTTATAATTATTTCCAGTTATCAGTCAGAGCTGGCATAGCAAGTTCTTTCTGGCTATCTCCCCCTTCCTTCTAACTTCTCTTCAATTATTTTCTCTTTGTAACCCACTGATAACCTGTTGGCCTAAAGAATTGCTCATGCAAAAAAAGAGAACATTTCTCCAATGTCTCTTTCAAAGTTCTTTAACAATGTGACTGATTAATGTGAGTGGGCATTGTTGTTATTTTCTATATACACTCTAGAAAGCATCAGTAAAATTGAAAAATTGGGTTCAGAGACATCCCAGTAAGAGTACTACGAAAATAAAATGAGTAAAACATTTGCTGTTAGTTGGATGTTACGTAGCTTTCATAATAGAGTTTCAGGAGTTGGACAGGAGCCTTCCTATAGGCTCTCAAATCCTTTTTAGTTACAGTGTAAACAGCTGTTTCCTCTTTCAGTACTTTCTTTGATACCCATTTGTCAATGGAATTGCCAAATGACTCACAACAATTGCACTTCTAGGTAATGTACATCCACACAAAGTCTTTTGTATGAGTATTCATAGTAGCAGCTTCATTCATAAGAACTGAGAAGTAGTAACACCCCAAATATCCAGCAACTTGTGAATGGATAAACAAAATGATGTACATCCATACTATGGAATATTTCACAATTTAAAAAATTACTAATATATGCCACAACATAGATGAACCGTGGAAACATACTGTGATTCCATTCATATGAAATGTCCAGAAAAGGCTAGTCTGTAAATAAAGAAAATAAATGAGTGGTTGCCCAGTGCTGGGAATGGGAACTGGGAGCAACTGTCAGTAAGGGTCTGAGGTTTCTTTTTGGGGTGTTGCAGTAATCTAAATATGGATTTTAGTGGTAGTTGGACAACTCTAAGCTTACTAAAATCACTTTAAATGTGTGAATTTTATGGTATATACATTATATCTCACTAAAACTTTTAAAAATTTCTTGTTTTTAGTGTTATTCAAAATTCAAAATGAATTAAATGTCACTAAGAACAAATGAAATGATACAAAGCTTTGCTTGCTTCAGGCATCAGCTTTCAGCTTTCAGATGTCCTTTCCTCCTCAAGATTGTCCTGCGCATTCACCCTTTATACTAGTTGGGAATTGCTTTTATTAAAATAAATCCTCTAAGATTCCTTGTCAGAATTTCTTTCTGTATCCATAACAATTGTAATGATAAAATAAGTTGAAATAAGTACTGTTTAAATTCTATTTATGCAGCCTATGTCCTGGTGAATGATCATTTTTAAGAATTACATGTCATCAATAATTTTTAAAAAGATGAATTTCTGCTGGGTACAGTGTCTCACACCTGTAATCCCAGTATTTCTGGAGGCCGAGACAGGCAAATTGCTTGAGTTCAGGAGCTTGAGCTGTGATTGTGCCACTGCACTCCAACCTGGGCAACAGAGTGAGACTCCAACTCAAAAAAAAAAAAAAAAAAAAAAGATAAATTTCTAATAAATATATAATTTATTAAATTTATAATTCTGATAATATAGCATATGTTAAATATAGAATTTATTAAATTGGCTTTTGAATTTTTCACTGTAAGCAATAAAGCAGATGGTTAGTTCATGACCAGTCTGATGCCTGCACCCTCCACACCTTGGCTTGATCTTACATAGCTTTCAGGATCCAAGCTTTACTGTTACAGCTCATGCCCAGGCACCTCCTCTATTCTTGCCACAAACACTGGTTTTAAAATGATAACTGATAGACTACTTTGCAGATTAATGGCACTCAAATAGGAATAGAAAACCTACCCCCGCCATAGATGGCACAGCATATCCTTAGAATTTGCTTCTTCATGTGTAATAGCTCCATGGTTTTGACTCTAGATAATTTTTTTTTTTTTCTGGAACCAAAATCGTCCTTTATTCTATATCATTCTATTTGAGTTTTATTATTTTTACACAAGAACTGTGAAATGCTTAAGATACAAACTAGCAAATAAAAAATGAAACGGAATCTCACTACAGAAAATACATTTAGTAAATTAAAGCCAAGCCCAAAGATCTGAGGAGATTCAAGAGAGCAAGACAAGCCATAACCAGTCTGGAAATACCCGAGGAGCTACTCTTTTGAGTCATATTCTCCTCAGCTTCCAGTGACCATTCAGTAAGCACATCCACCAAGAAAGGCTAGCAAAAGCCTTGGTGTTTTAAATATTAACAAATGTAGACTTATTTTGTCCTGTACAAAGTGCTAATTTCAGTAGCTCCATTAAGATAGAGAGTATCTGAGAAAAATCATTAAAGGCAATGTTCATTCAATTCAAATACTGTTAGACGCAGTTGACAGCATTTTACTGCTAGTGTTTTAAGTCTGCACAGGCAGTGTCCAAGTATTTCATAGCTAGTTTCTTAAACTAAAGGGAAAACCAAGTAAACTCCAAGTGCTTATCATAAGCCTATCCAAAATACCCTTATATTAGAAACAGCTATTCCAAGGTTAACAAGCTTCTACGGGCCTCAAATAGGCCACTTCCAGGGAGTCTAAGAACTACAGCCACCTACAAGTATCAAAGTAAAGACAGCTAACTATGTCACAAGCCACCTTTCATGCTGAGGCGATCACTGGCCATCTGTTTCCAAAGCGTCAACAGTGTGTGCAGCAGAAGGACGGTCCTTAGGGTCTTCGTTCGTGCACACCGAAAAGAGTTCGATGACTTTCTGGTACGATTCATCCAGTTCTTCCATATTAACGGGCGGCCTCGTTCCCAAAGCTGCGTAGTATGCTTTGTCATCAAAGTCACTTTCATCAAAAGTTTCATCTTCATCATCGTCGTCCTCATCATCTGGAAGATTAATGTGTGGAATAGATAAAGTCATCATTTTCCACAGAGCAAGACCAAAAGCAAATATGTCTGCCTTGTCAGTAATAACACCATTCTCCTCTAAAGCTTCCTTGGGTTTCCATGGCTCTGTGCCAATGTAGCAGGCCTCAGGGTTGGTCACAGTCATATTTTCATCCAATGGTAGAGAGACTCCTACATCACAGATTTTAATTGTTTCAAAATCAGCTTTAATTACAACATTTGAAGACTTGATATCTCCATGAAGTAGTTTCTTTTCTTGGTGCAAATACTTTAGCCCTCTTGCCATATTCAAAGCAACTTTTAAAATTAAGGCTGCTGGAAAAGGAGCTCGGCTGTCTTTATTCCGCTCTTCTATTAAGTCGTTTAGAGATTTCTCCCCTCCATATTCCATAGCAAGACACAAAGTACCGTCACTGGCTTCGGTAAAAGCACGATAACCTACAATGTTTGGATGATGAAGGTTTTTCAAGATCTTAGCATCATCAATTAGTCTTTTTTGATACACACTCCGATAATGATCATTACATATAGGATTAATCTTTTTTACAGCCCAAGGAGAATGAGACAAACCTCTTGGAGATCTTTTCATTAGGTGAACTTTTACCCCAGTACCAAAGCCGAGCTTCTGCATAAATGGAGAAGCAGGGATATTTATACATGGAGTTGAACATAATACAGATTTCTTTGTTTCAGATAATTTGCTTGGTGTCTTGAAATTACTGTTCCCTTCCATTTAAAACCACTCTAAGTCCCGAGGCGCGCCCTGGGCGGGAAAAGGCGGGAGACAAAGGCCGACGCCCAGGCTCTCTGGAGAAGCGGTCCCGACGAGCCCCGCGGCCGCCACAGCGTCCCAGGCGCCACCAACACGCGCGCTCCGGAGCGGCTGTTGCGACCCTCTAGATAATTTTTAAATCAGATTTGTCCATAGTTAATTTGTAGGAGAAATATTTTTTAAGTGGCAATTGATACATTTTCCGTGTTGGATTATCTGACTGCATAGCCTTTTCCTAGGGTGTGATTTATATGTGTATGGGAGTAGGGGGCAGAGAGCATTAGCTGTAGAAATTAAAGAAATTTCTTGAAAAATATTGCTGCTACCACTGGTTAAATACAAGGAGCTGGGTAATAAATTGTGTAAACATTTACATTTTATTTGTTGCATATGAGTAGATACAATAGCGATGGTTCTCAGCCTTTGTTCTAACACACTTACACAAATCTTTTTTAAAGTAATTTTTTTCCTGGAAGAAACAATATTAGTGGGATTGGAAGTTTCATTGCCACTTGAGTCTGCTTGCCTTGATAACCTCATTCCCAGATTTATTTGGAACGAGAACAGTTTGGTTTCTTTCTAGACTGTAACTCTCTCTTCTCCAATCTGAAACGTATGGTGGCATCTTGGATACTGAACATTACTTCCTAGGAGATAGAGGAAAACAGTAGACTTGTAAATGTCCACTGGTTAAAAAATATCACTTATCAAGTGTTTTTTATTTTTGTTTTGTTTTGTTTGGGAGGGCATTTGCAAGCCCCAATAAATGGGGATTAATCTGAAGCCTAATCTGAGATTAGTCTAAAGCATATTTAGTTGTCCTATCAAATTTTTGATAGAACCCAAAACACTGTTTTTGGATATTATAATCTAATTGATGAACTATGTCAAGGTCAGGATTTGTTTCTGCAAAGAATTTGTAAACATACTACAGTGTATCATTTGATACACAACTGAAATATTTGCACATTAGATATTTTTCAGTATAAGGGAGAAGTAAGGGATAAAGCAAAAAAATGAATGAAAGCCAAAAACATTTTACCAAAAACAACACGTTTGCATATAAGGCTTTTATGTGCTTGTAAATGTGTGGAGGCAGCAAGGTTAAGAGTGATGATCATTAAGTCAATTTATTTATTCTGTTCTTAGAAGTCCCAAGAGCTCCCTCTGAAAGGATGTAAAATTTTTGATGCCATAAAGGGTTTTTATTTGTGGTTAGCAGTAGCTTCAATTTGCTGTTCTAACTGCCTAGAAATAGTTAAAAATTGATTTTTGGATTCAGGACAACTGAATACACATAGGATTATAGACAAACACAAAAATTTAATAAACACATACATTCTTTTATTTGTGAAAGCATTTGTTTTTTGGTTTTTTTTTTGAGTTGGAGTCTCACTCTGTCACCCAAGCTGGAGTGCAGAGTGGCAGGCACACTCACAGCCACCCCAACATTGACCTCTTGGGCTCCAACCATCCTGCCACTTCAGCCTTCCAAGTAGCCAGAACTACAGGCGTGCACTACCATGCCAGGCTAATTATTTTTTAAATTTTATTTATTGTAGAGACAACGTCTTACCAAGTTGCCCAGTCTCAAACCCGCTGGCACAGGCAGTCCTCTCACCTCGGCCTCCCAAAGTGCTGGGATTACAGGCTGAGCCACCAAACCGGGCCTGTGGAAGCATTTGTACGTAGGGACTTTCTGGGTAGATCAGACAGCTAAAAGTTTATTTGAAAACAAATGAAAAGAAATAATGACTGTGTTTCTAAGCATACATTTTGTTCCTAAAGTGTCTGGAAGTATGGTTGCAATCTTGATTGGCCCGTGGTGGTTTGTTGCAGGTGTATGCCTATCTCAGAAGAACTTGCTATTACATATGATATCGTGCTAATTCTTAATAATCCTGCAGGGAAAATTTTATATTGAACTCGACTCATTTGTTTTTTACATTGCTCCTGTGGTGAAGAGGGTTGGTTTCTGGGTTGCTTTTGCTATTTGGCATTTTCTCCTTTAGTGCTCAGTGTATGCACACCTTAATCCTTTAACCTTTAATCTAAGCCCTGGGCTATTTGACAGAAAGAGAATCTTTCTTTGTTATATCACGAGATATGGTAGAGTATTACATTAGTCAGGGTCAACTAGAGAAGGAGAACCAGTAGGAGATATATATTATGAGCTATATTACAAGGAATTGGCTTACACAGTTGTCAGTGCTGGCTTGGCAAGTCTGAAATCTGTAAAGGAGGCTGTTAGGAAGGCCAAGCTAGAACTCAGGCTCAAGCTGAAGCTGCTGTCCACAGCAGAATTTCTTCTTTTTCAGGAAAGTCTCAGCTCTGCTTTTTAAGACTTTTTAGGAAACTGGCTCAGCCCCATCCAGATTACTTGGGATTTTATGTACTTTAATCACATCTACAAATTACCTTCACAGCAACACCTAGATTAGTGTTTGATTGGTTAACTATGGACTTTAATCTAGCCATGTTGACATAGAAATAAAATAAGACCATCACATTCCATCCCTTGTCAACTTGGCACCCATACACATCTCAAACCATACTTCACCTCCAAATAAAAACAATAAAGATATCATACTTAATCTAACATGACACATCTATCCTGCTTACAACTAAAAAGATGATAACCCTTTCCCCAGAAAAGGATACAAAGTCCTTAGATGATGTTAACTCTTCTCCTTGATATCCTGTAACTAAAATGCTAAACTATGAAACTGGTTTTTAATGCAAATCATGTTAGATGATAAAGGGATAAGATAGGAAAGAAAACAAAAAAATTTTTTGTTTTTTAATATTATGTTTTGGATATTAAACAAAAATATATATATTAACATATTCATAACAAAATGAGAAAGAAATGCTCGTGACTGTTGCAGTCCCCATTTCTGCACCTGGCCCGTGGTCATTGCTGGTGCTTATAACTGCTTTCTTCCACTACTTATTTCATATTCCCGTGGCCATCAGCAAGCACCTCAGTTAGTCATGGTTCTTTGCTTAGTGTGGTAACCCAAACTTTTATTCCTGAAGAGCCAGGTCCCTGGTAGCCCTGCCTGGATGGGATCATTGTAGTTTCTTTTGAGTTGGAGTCTCACTCTGTCGCCCAGACTGGAGTGCAGTGGCCGCTCCCGGCCACCGCAGCCTCGACTTGCTGGGCTCTGGCGATCCTTCCGCCTCAGCCTTCCAAGTAGCCAGAATTACAGGCATGCGCTACCATGCCCGGCTGATTTTTTTTTTTAATTTATTGTAGAGATGAGGTCTCACTGCCCAGGCGGGTCTTGAACCCGCGGGCTCAGGCAATCCACTCACCTCAGCCTCCCAAAGGCGTGGGATTACAGGCTAAGCCACCGAGCCCGGCCATTGTAGTTTCTAATTGACTTTAATTACAGGACACAGTACTAAGAGATGCCCCAAAAGATCCTCCTGTATTTTAGATATACTCCTCCATTGTGTAGCAACAACCCATTTTCCCCTTGGTAATCATGATTAGTCACACCAGCCAGTACAGTAACCCTATTCTTTGACTTGTAATTCAGAAAAATGAATGTCTCAACATGGCTGTGTAGCAGTGCCAACTTCCAGTTCAGTGGAATCATTATTGTCTCCTTAGGAGCTAGGACCTCTAAACCAACAGACCCTAAGGTCATTGGGAAGATAAGCAAAAATTTTGCTGGTGGAAACCTAGAGGTAATAGTGAGTGGAGCATTCCCATTTCTACCCTTTATTTCTCACACATGTGAACTGTAGCTACAGAAGAAGCCACACCATATATTAGACAATGATTTAGAACATCCTGGAGGACCTTTCCCCAGTCCCACAAGGAGCTGCCACCTAGATGGCACTATAACTGAGTCTTCCAAAAGACCATTTCACTGTTCTTTCAAGACAGGTGCTTTGTAATGATGGGAAACATGCTAAAATCAGAGAATTCCATGAGCATGGGTCAATTGCCATACTTCATATGAGGAGAGTTTCTTGGTCAAAAACAATACTGTGTGAAATATCATTATGGCAGATAAGGTATTCTATAAGTCCATGGATGGTGGTTTTGCAAAAGCATTGTGTGTATAAAAGGAACATCCATGTGCAGAGTGAATGTCTGTTTCAGTGAGATATATCTCTAGCCTTTGACAGCTGCTGATAGTACTGATACCAACTGTCTATCAGTTTTAAAAGAACATAGAGGAAAGTTACAGGTAAGTGAGGGGATAATGCTAGAATGAATGGTATGACCCTGGATTTGACTAAGAGACATAATATATGCTCATGTTTATATATTGTCTTAGGCTGTTTGGGGCTACCTTAGATTGGATGGCTTACACAACAGAAACTTATTTTCTCACAGTTCTAGAGGCTGGAAGTCCAAGATCAGAATGCTGGCATGGGTGGTTCTGGGTAGGGCTCTCTTCCTGGCTTGCATATGTCCATCTTCTTGCTGTGTCCCTAGATGGCTGAGAGGAAGCAAATAAACTCTCAATCCTGTCACAACACCCCAGTGATCTCTTCTAAACCTAATTATCTCCCAAAGCAGACCAAAGAAAACTAAGGAGACATGCTGGCTAAATCCCGTGTGGCACCCTGAGATAAACATTGGAACAGCAACAGTCACCACAAAGCCACAAGAATAACAACTAATGAAATCCAGTGGTCTGGAATTTAGTTAGTAGTAACGTACCAATGCTGTTTTCTTAGTATTAATGAATGTAGTATTACAAGATGTCGACTTCAGGGGAAGCTGGTTGAAGGGTATATGGGAACTCTCCTTATTATCTTTGGAGCTTTACTAGAAATCTAAAAATATTCCAAAATAAAAACTATTTTTAAAAACCAGAACATATAAAGAAAGAACAACTTGCAAATGAATCAGAGGCAGAGGAGGCTTAGTTTTTTGTTCTGTGAGTTGGGGTCTCACTCTTTTGTCCAGTCTAGAATGCAGTGTCACAATCACAGCTGATCGCAACCTCA